CGGGACACCCCCCTCCCCCCGCACCGCCCGGTATCCCTCGCCCGCGGAACCCCCGCCACCCCCTGCGCCCACCAGCCCCGGGTGGCCCTGGGGACCCGACCCGCGATGGCCCTGGGATGTGGCCGGGCACCGGCTGACCCGGGATGTCCCCAGGTACCGCTGATCCGGGATGTCCCCGAGATGTGGCCGGGCGCCGCTGAACCAGGATGTCTCTGGGCACCTCTGACCCGGGATGTCCCCGTGTCCCCAGGATGTGGCCGGTCACCACTGTCCCGGGATGTCCCTGGGTACCACTGACCTGGGATGTCCCCAGGATGTGGCCAGGCACCGTCTGACCCAGGATGTCCCCGGGATGTGGTCACCACTGTCCCGGGATGTCCCCGGGTACCGCTGACCTGGGATGTCCCCGGGATGTGGCCGGGCACCGGTGAACCAGGATGTCCCCGTGTCCCCAGGATGTGGCCAGGCACCACTGCTGACCCCCCCCGTCCCTGGGTACCTCTGACCTGGGATGTCCCCGTGCCCTCGGGATGTGGCCGAGCACTCGCTGACCCGGGATGTCCCCAGGATGTGGCCGGGCATCACTGACCTGGGATGTCCCCCTGTCCCCGGGATGTGGCCAGGCACTGCTGACCCGGGGGTGCCATCGTGTCCCCAGGATGTCCCTGGGCACCTCTGACCTGCAATGTCCCCATGCTCCCGAGATGCCTCAGTGCCCCTGGGATGTCCCCAGGAACCTTTGACCCAGGATGTCCCCAGGATGTCCCCATGCCTGGGATGTCCCTGGGCACCGCTGACCCGGGATGTCCCCATGCTCCTGGGCTGTGGCCAGGCACCGCTGACCCGGGATGTCCCCACGATGTCCTCGTGCCCCCAAGATGCTCCATGCAGGCTCCAGCCCCAGGAGGTCCCCAGGCACCCCTGGGCCAGGCTGCCCCATGTCCCGACCTGCTCCTGCCCCCCCTTTCTCCCAGCCCCATCCTCCCCTGACAGCTCCAGGGGCCAAATCCCACCGGGACGAGTCAATGGCACGGGGTGGCCACGGTGGTGGGGGTAGGACATGCCCCCCGTGGTGCCAAAAAGCTCCTGAACTGGGGGGACCAGTGCCTGCTGTGGGGCCAGGGCTCTGGGCATGACCCGGAGGGAGGTGACCACGGACCCCCTGTCACCCCCGCCCTCCCCACGCCCCAGGTGCAGGAGTGGAACGTGGAAGCCCCCCACCTGATGCCGCTGCAGCCGCCGCTGCTGCCGGAGCGGGCTCACGTGCGGGAGGCGCAGCTCCACTCGGCCGAAGCGTCCCTCTGGACCGTGGTGGCCACCGTGCAGGCCATGGAGAGGAAGATCGACCTCCTCGCCACCCGCCTGCTCAGCCTGGAGGGTCGTTCCGGCACAGCCGAGAAGAAGCTCCTGGACTGCGAGAAGACCACCATGGAGTTTGGGAACCAGCTGGAGAGCAAGTGGGCCGTGCTGGGCACCCTCATCCAGGAGTACGGGCTGCTCCAGCGGCGCCTGGAGAACGTGGAGAACCTCCTGAAGAACAGGAACTTCTGGGTGCTGCGGCTGCCACCCGGTCCCCGGGGTGAGGTCCCCAAGGTAATGGCTCCCATTGGGGTGCTGTGGGTCTGGCGGGGGGGACCCCTGGGGGGTGGGCACCGCTGAGTTGCCGGGGGCTTGTTCCTGCAGGTGCCGGTGACGTTTGTGGACATCGCCGTCTACTTCTCGGCGGAGGAGTGGAAGAATTTGGAGGAGTGGCAGAAGGAGCTGTACAATAACCTGGTGAAGGAGAACTATGAGGCTTTGCTCTCTCTGGGTAAACGTCCCTTTTTGCCCCCTTTTTCCCCGGCAGGACACGGGGTGACGGCTGCGTCTCCACCAGAGGGTTGCATCTCCACCGTGGGTGCCCTGGTCCCCTACAAGAAGTCGGTGGTGGCACACGGGACCCCTCATTTCGGAGGGAACCCACGTGCTTGTGCCAGTGTGACCACGTGTGACAACTTGTGCCACCAAGTCCAGGGGGGGGGGGGGGGGGGGAGGGGGTCTTTTTAAAACTGAAGGGATTTGCAAAGGACTTTAATCGTGAGAACCCAAGTGGTTCATAGGAATACTGAAGTGTTTCCTGCGGGGGGGGGGGGGGCTGGAGAGGGTCCTCGTCCCCCAAAATCGAGGGAACTGAGCGTCTGCATCACACGGACCTCCCAAATTTAGGCATTAGGAGAGATGCTGATGTGCCCCCTCGACGTCCCCCCACTTCTTGGTGATGGGG